ACACACACACACACACACCACACCACACACACACAAAAAAAAAAAAAAAGACGTGAAAAACTGACTAAATTTCTCTGCAGATTCACTACATTTTGTTTGGACTCTCCCCTGCATAAACTTGAGGTGAAATCTGGCCAGGGTTGTTCCGGTTCACAGGTGAGCCGCGTGAGCGTGGATTTGCTGATTTTGTCATTGACAATTGTAAATTTCGAGGCTCATTGCATTTATCTCGTCATCATACTGACAACTAAGAATGAGGAATGGAACTGAAGAATGAAGAATATAGAATGAGGAATGAGAATATAGAATGAAGAATGAAGAATGACAGATGACGGATGAGAATGAGAATGAGAACGAGGTGTGCAAAACTGAACCATTGTTAAGTTACCTTCTCCGAAAAAAGAGGAAGAAGACAACGAAGAAGAAGAAAAAGAAGAAGAAGAAGCAATGGTGATGCGGTCATGGGGAATGCTAACCTTTTTTTTTTCCCTTTCTTTTTCAGTACAACATTTCTGTTTACTTAATGCTAAGCCCTTTCACCAAAAGGAATTCCAGCAACGGGAAGGCCAAAACATTAACGTCTGGGAGCAGTACGCAGTTACGCTAACGGGAGGAGGATTTTGAACTTCTTTAATTTGCTTGAATCTTTCGTCTAAAAAAGATATATAAAAAAAAAAAACTATCTCTTTTTAAGTTTATAGAATTAATCCTCTGTGAAAGGAAAATCACCGAACATCAAAGATGATATCTCAATGCTGTCGCCCCTTCGAAGAAAAAGAAAGAAGGAAAGAAAGAAAGAAGGAAAGAAAGAAAGAAAGATTGGCGGGCAAAGTATGTAGTAACTAGCTGACCTCCTGCCAGCACACCAGAGCTACATCTGCTGGGCCCCGTGGAATGTGTGCGCAGCCCCGGCAAGTCGTACATCTCCTGTGCCAGTCTAGACTCGAGATCCGCCGGAGTTTTCAGGTACAAACTGATGACAGTCTTCTCCTTCACCTCGTGAGCATTGTGTGATGGGGAAAGGGAGCACGATCCTCCACTCTGATTCCCTCCTGCTGCTTCTTCAACCTCCACGTATCTCTCGCCATCATCGCTCTCCATGTCCGAGCCATACCCACCACCCCATATTCTCCCTCTCCTCTGCCTCTTCTCCCTTCTCCTCTTCCTATCTTCTTGCCGCCGTCTCAGCACCCTCTCCTCTCCCACCCCGTTGTCCTCCCAATTCCGATCCCGACCCGCAGTTTCACCCACAACCAAGCACGGCACTTCCTCCAACACCGAGAAGAACGAACCGTTTGCAGCCTTGTCATCATCATTACCCCCATAATGATCCCCCCCCCCTCCTTCCAGTGATGCATAGTCATCAATTTGAACACACATGCTGTCGTCAGCAGGCCCTCTCCCTCTTCTGCTGAGACGATCAGTCATTGCAGCAGTCGCTGCCATTCGGACCCTGACGTCATTATACAGACGAGGATGACCAGCAGCAGCAGCAGCAGGAGGCGGAGGAGGACTGCAGTTGCAGTCCATCGGAGAGTCAAGATGCTGTCTCTTATACACATCTAGATGTGTATAAGAGACAGCACATGCTGTCGTCAGCAGGCCCTCTCCCTCTTCTGCTGAGACGATCAGTCATTGCAGCAGTCGCTGCCATTCGGACCCTGACGTCATTATACAGACGAGGATGACCAGCAGCAGCAGCAGCAGGAGGCGGAGGAGGACTGCAGTTGCAGTCCATCGGAGAGTCAAGATGTCCGACTGCTGGCTGAGGCGATGGACCATGATGATCACGTAGACCTGGAACTGACAACGGGCGGCCAAGTGGACCGGAACTCACACGCCAGCGACGAGCCGAAGACGAGCTGCGGCCGCCTCTCTGGGCTTGATCCATCGTTGTTACCCTTTGCAATGCCGACCGCAGCTCACCGCCGACAGGCCCATCAGATGGTGGTGGAGGTTGACCACCACCCGGTTGCCAGATCATCATGTCGTCGTCCTCCTTGCTGTCGTCCCGACCGTCCCTGTCTCCATCGGGATCGCTCTCATCACCTGCCAGGTCAACGGCTTGGTCAAAGGTGAAGAGGCTGTTGTGTGCATCGAAGCCAGGCACGGGAGCTTCGACAGTCAAATCCTCTAACAAACTAGACGTATCCCAGGGGTCTCCAGAGAAAGCTGGTGCTGCAGCAGCAGAGGAGGAGGTGCAACCACCCTCCTCCCTACCTTCCTCATCACTATCCATCCACGTAGCATACGAAACTGCAACTGCTGTGTCTGCACATTTCTCCAGCCACCCATGCTCATCATCACTGTCCCAATCACCACCACCACCACCACCGTCGCCACGGCGACTCCAAGCATCCTTCATTCCACCCACAACTTCAACTATCCTACTACAACCTATCACATCCATGTTCCTTCCTCCTCCATCTCCTCCTCCTCCTCCTCCTCCTCCTCCTCCTTCTCCTCCTCCTCCTGCTGGAGCAGCTGCTGCTGTGAAGGCAGCTCTACGTCCTCCTATCCCTACTGATCCTATTCTGATCTGACCAACTTGAATTCTGTTCCCGTGAGCTGTGGGGACCACACAGTCAAGACCATGTAGGTTCTTGCTTTGGCCACCATCATCTCGACCATACTCCCCACAATCCTCCCCCTTGCGATCCACACCCATCACTTCGCTGCTCGAGCTGGTCTCTTCTCTGAGGCCAATGATTCTCCCCATTGATGTGAGACACGTGTCCTCCTCATTCTCTTTCTGACTGATGGCATCCATTTGGCCTTGGCCTTGGCCTTGGCCTCCTCCAGTCCAACTGAAGTCTAACCCCTTCACCTCATCCACGCCAAATTCAACTTCTGGGAGGGACCAAACAAGGACCAAAAAAAAAAGCAAAGCATCATCGTCATCATCATTTTCTCCCTGAGAGATTCAGTTTAATTCGCACAACAAAATAGATAGGATTCAAATCACAACAAGATGGGCGCCCACAAGGTCGTGGGCAAAAGGATGACACCGTTCGCAGCGGCAGCAGCATGTTTTTTTTTGTTTTTTTTTTTTGTGTGTGAGAGAGAGAGAGAGATGTGTGTGTGTGTGTGTGTGTGTGTCTGGTGTGTGCGTGTGTGTG